CTGAAAATTTATTTGCGCCGTATATATTATATAATATATATATGTATACATATATATACCGTGTGTATATATATATATATATATATGCACACACACGAAAATTACGTGCAAGTTTCATGCCCGGCTGGTTAAGAATTAAAGGAATACAAGGAAACCGAATTTCCGATTAAATTTTCGAAAGCCGCCTACGCACACATTTTCGTGCATAATCTCGGTTTTCGCGCGGATTATCGTCGGCTGCATTGAGATTACAACGTGCTGCGTTGAATGACGAAGGGAAGTATATTTTATTGCCGATATCTTTACGGGAGGATACGCAGCTTGTGTGTTTAATCCTTCCGTGATCAGAGAAAGCGTTTTTCACCGATTTTGGTTGATTATCGTCGAGCGCTTTGCCGATTCTTTCGGCGTCGTCGAAAAATTTCATATCTCGCTGTTGAGACGTCAATTATACAAATCTATAGTATGGAAGCAAAAAATTTCGAAGAATTTCATTTGACTCGCGGCGATAATATACGACCTTGAAAGTTTGATTATTGAGACTCCTATTAAACCGACCAATGAAACCGTGCTTGTGCTCTTGACCGATGAAGCTGTGCGCCCATCGGATTAATGGAAAAAGTTTGGCGCGCGGGGAAATTGTTTCTGCCATAAGAGTCGACGACGACGAGAAGAAATAAAAACGGGAACTCTTCCCTAAATCGAACTTTTCTCCAATTAACCAGACGACGTGTGAATGAATCGCGAATCGATACGATGGCGTTAATGGCTTATGTACGTCGTCGTCGCGTCGATCGCTCCCGTTACAATTACGTCGCATCGAAGCGGAGCATCAACGCTTTTCGTTTCGTTGCAAATGTCATTAATTGTGTTCCGCGTCTTGTGTACGTGTGTGTGTGTGTGTTAAAGCGTATAGGTCGGAAACGTCTCTCTGTGACACAATCGTAAAATCCGCTGCGTCGAGCGTGGTTCCGACATCGGCGCGAGCTCACAAAGCATTACGCGCTCAAATACGAAACTGCCCTTCTGTGTTATTCCGCCTAAGTCCCGCGCACAAGAGATTAATTCGCGACCGCTGTTTGAAAGAGCCCATTGTAATTCCCGGCGCTAGAAAGTACAATACATTATACCAGCACAGGGTGTTGTACCGAGAACAATGATCAATAGCTTTCTGTTAATCGTGCGCGGCTTCTGCGCGCGAAGAAGCCGCACGAGGAGAATGAGAGAATGTAAATAAATTATTTAATGCTCACAAAGAGTCCGTGTTTCACGAAAAGAGATTTTTTTTTGTTATCTCTCGTAATATGTACAGTAAGTAACTTTTTAATATTCGGACACCATACGAGCTTTACTTTGTGCATGTAATTTTGTCTAGGATAAAAGAAAGATTATTTGTGTTACGTGTTTTATACACATCGTAGAATATAACATAATAAACGGACAAAATTCTATCAATGTTTATTTATGTAAAAAAACCAAATTTTCCAGACGATTTCCTTACTGATTGTGAGTTTTTCCTTACTGAGGGATTAACGAAACGCACGTAACCGGAAAAAAATACGTTCCGCAAAACTAGTGTACATATTTGCATTCTCTCGCTTTATAAAATGCTCCGGTGGGATTTTCGCGGCTTGAATAATATCCGCGCGCATTTCATCGCGCTTCAAAGACATTCTTTTTATTGTGAGAATTTAACGACGGTGCCAGAATCCAAGGAACAATCAAGAATCCGGGAACTCGACGGATTCTTTTCAACGAATTGTGCACAATTGAGAGATGAAAGAGGATTCCCGACTACGCTAGCCCGGTATTTTTCCATTGTTGATGTAAAATTGCTGAAAACATAATTTTCTCCTCCTCCCGATCTTCTCTCCAATTACCGGAGAAGTGGATGTTCAAACTCGGTGAAGCCGGCAAGAAATTTTTTTTTTTTACGATAAAAAACATCCACGTGGGGACAAAAGTAAAGTCGTTATCGCGCTTCGACCCTTCGAGGTTTTTATTTCGCTTCATGTTGACGTCTTGGGAGGGCGCAAAAAAGCGAAAAAAAGCATATTGCACATTTTGAACGCAATGCATATTTAATAATAAAAAAAAAAACAAAAGCACACAATGAGCGATATGAGATGTAAATGTCATTCTATTAATATTATACGTGGCGTTTAAAGTCGCGCGCGATTAGAAGATTCGACTTAACAAAAGTCGCGCAATGCCGCGCAAATTCACAAATGAAATTCCTTCGAGACCCGTTTGAAATCGTCCTACGGGGGAATGCGGGAATAAGGATCGCACATACATCCTCATTGTACGTACGTGAGAAAACAGCTGCGCAAGTTATACGTGCACATCTTCCAAGCTAAAGACCAAACGTCGTCACACAATTCGTCGAGGATTTATTTCGGAAATATGCTTCTCACATCTAATCTGGGCTTTTGCAGCGGGAACTATTTGCCCACGTCCGAGTCTCCACACTTCTCTGCTTTATCTTCTTTCGCGTTTCCTCTCTATCGCGCTCTCTTTCTCTCTCTTTCACATTGCCCCGTAACTCGTCACGTTCTGACACCCCTGTTCTATAATAATAATAATAATAATAATCCGAAGTATCCCGAAACATACGCGCGCGGTTCTTCACCGCCGCCTGCGCATCGCGAAATATCCTCTCGCCGTCTATCCTCTTCGGACAATCCGCGGGGAACAAGAAAGGAGCGGAAGGGGTTGCAGAAGAATGGAGGGGCAGGGACATCGGCGAGGCACGAGACCTGAGCCTTAGCCAGGAAACTTCCTCTCTGCGCGCGCGAAATCGATCAGGTGGTGTGACGCTCGTGTGACGTCTCGTCAGGATCTACTCCAAAGCTCTTGTGCGGTTTTCATACGGATAATGAGAACGGCGAGAACATGTAGCGTATATATACGTGAGGCATATGTAGCACTGTGGTCTCACCTCGAATATTGATTTTGGAGAGAAGGAGAGAGAATCAACTTTCCTTATCAAAGTGTTAAAACGATAATTTGGACAATTTTATTCACACACGTTCGTAAATGTTTAGAAAATTGTTTAGAATTCATATGTAAAAAGAAAACATACATGTATGTATGTGTGTATTTTTATAGTTCAAAAAAAATTTAATTTAGATATAAAAAGTAAATTTAATTTAGATTTAGATTTATAAATAGATCTATAAAATTTAATTTATTAGCTGAGAAAGAGAGAGAGAAAATACAAAATGAAAAGAGACTTACTGAATCGACTTACTTTATAAACTCTTGACCTCTTTCGTGTACACACACACACACACACACACACATAAAATTAACGCAAAGCGATAAGCTGATCAATGTGACGCGAAATCGATGTAATATGACAACGCGTCTCTTTCTCTCTATCTTTGTTCTTGAAGACACCTAATTTTCCGTTTTATGATCACATCGCGAAGCGACAGATTTATCCCGACAAAATTACGTCTGAAGAGATATTTACGAGCTGTGCTTTAAGAGCATTACGCTTTTCTGCCTCGGATCATATAAACGTGCGCGCCCGCGCGCGCGCGCAACATGTCGCAATTTACTGCGAATGAAGTTAAGATTCAGCGAAGCGACTCGATTTCCAACGTTCCGATTAAACATGTCGACGACGAAGCTGACGTTGTTTATTCACGCACGCGACTTGCATATACTCGCAGAGAGCACCGCTAATAATACCGCGCGCTGTCGAAATTTTGCGGCGCGCACCTCGATTTTGTTTCCTATCTATTTTGCGTATGCATACCGCGTCTCTTTGTGCGCATTCACTGCAACTCGGTTTACGCATCATTTTACATTCCCGATGCTCGGGAAATTAAACGATAAAGTAGATTTGTATTCGCGTTGTTCATATTCATCTCTCGACGAACGTCCGCGTATCCGGTTAATCGGTTAAATTGCATAACGGTTGTTAACAATGCCGAGAATAACAAACGCGCAAAATATATAACTTGATCCCGACAAATTGCCCATTCGCATTATTTGTGCAAAAGTTAACGTTTTCTTGAAAAAAAAAAAAAAAGAACTTGGTAAGAGCAGAAATATTAACAAATAACAACAATAATTAACATCGAACATTGCTACCTTAATCTGGCGCGAACATCAAAATCTTTGAAAATTATCTTCCGTTTCGTTCGCACACACATTTCTGAATCTCTCTCCACCGACATTTCAAGAAATAAATAAGGCAGTAACGACGATCGTTAGCGGTTTCCATTGAATAGAAATGACTCCTAATAAGTTCCACACAACGTCGGGGACGAGAGAGAATCCCGTCGGACGAGAGAGAATCATAATAACAACTTAACTGCACAAATGTGGAGAAAACATTTTCTTTATTTTTATCTTTGTGCGTGTTGTATCATCTTCTTCGCTACAAACGTTACGGCTTTCTTCTCTCATGCTTATTTCCCATTCACATCAACATCATATCCATTCACTACCGAGTCGGATCCGCGAATCCGTGATATATAACCTTCCTCAAGGTTTCGGATGCGAGGCGCGTAGTCGCAGTAGTCGAGATCGGCACACGCGCCGACGACGACGCACGCTCGCCCCCGGTGCGGCGATCTTCGTCTTGTCCTTCGCGTCCCGCATCGGCCGCGAGACGAAGGTTTCTTTCTCCCTAACTCTCCAAAAGGGGGTAAGGGGCGCGAGCTTGCGCCCTGAGCTGCTCCGTCGAAGAGGTCTGCAGGAGGCGAGGAAAATGCGACGGGGAGGAAAGGGGAAGAGAGGGGGAGCGAAGAGCGACGTCAGGTGGGGTTGTGGTGAGCTTTTTCGGGGGAGGACGCATTCGTTCGCTATGGAACGCGGGTGCCACGAGGGTGGAGGAGGGTGTCACGGCACACTGACAAGAGGATAGGAGGGGAACGATGGCCGGGAGGAATGGGGGAGGCGTAAGGTGAGGCAGCGGTGGCGGCGGTCCTTCGGTGGGAGAAACGGCAGACCCGGGCAGTGCAAGCCGGGCTGCCTGCCCGATGATACGGTTGCTCCGTTGGGGTGTCTCGCGGTGATTTCAACCTTTTTTTTTTCCTTCGAAAACGAGCCCGCGGGATAGCGCACGTTCTGGACGTTTGACTTCTTCCCCCCTTCTAACCCCTGCACTTTGGAGCGTCATCGGCGCGTTTTTCAGACGTCACCGTTCATTTCGTCGCAGGGGGGAAAAAGTGGGCGCGCTGCCAAGACAATACACATCGGGAAGAGAGAGCACGTGCATCCGTGCGAAAGGGAGCCGAAGAGCGCGCCCGAGGGGTTGCATGCACCACTATTCCTGCTTGAAAGCTTGTGCTGCCGACAAGTAACAGGTTGGTGTTGTAGCAACTTCGTTAAAAAGCGATCGATCGCGATCGATCAGAACGGAGGATGCGGGCCACGAGTGCTCCTCGTTTGTTTGTATGCGATTTCACTGTGACCGCATCAGCGGCTTTCAGCAGTCAATTTTGGGGGTGTATAATAAACACATGTTAGAAAAAAATTTAACGCAACATTTGAAGGTGTAGATTGCGGTAAATTTGCACACGCGACAGAGAAGTGTGTGCGTGTGAGTGACGTAAACGGTATGACTCAAAAAGAATTCTCTCTCTCTCTCTCTCTCTTTTTTTTTGAGAGCCTTGATCCGTCGTTAATAATATATATATATATGTATCAAAACTTTATCACAGAGAGAAAGATCTCTACTCCGATCCTTCTGACAAATCGAGTCTCGCAATGTCGCAATCTTTGTTACATTTCAAATTGTCGAAAAAAAATGCATACACGTATGAGCGTGACCGAAATCGCGATCCGAAAGACTGCATAGTCCGATGTGAAGATGGCGAGACGCGTAGCACTTTTGGCGATCGATATTCAGGTGTGAACTCTTGTCGGGAACTACATTATTATTTGACACGTTGACATGCGAATAATAATGTGGATTCTCAGGTCGAGTCGTCGCCGGGAAAAATTAGATGAGAAACTGCGACAATGCTGACCGCGCTACGGGAAAATGTTACCTCTCGGTTGTTCAAATATGTTTGTCCGAATCATCTCTATAAACAATTCATATTTTAAACGTATTCATATTGCATTAATCGGTTTTCGATGTTCACTGTAATACGAATGTACTTCGATGGAATTCGTAATGTGTTTTAAAGAGGAAAAGTTTTTTGCGCGTATCGGTCGCGATCGCGATTTGATTTCGTGATTCTTCGCGAAGGATATAGCGATCGATTTGTTGCACACACTCTCGCTTGATTAGTTGATGAGATAGTTAACGAGGCGATACGTGACGAGTAGTGTAATGATGCTCGGCGGTTTCCGCGGTCAATCTTAAGCCGCCAACTTGATACGAGTTCCGAGCCAAGTAACAGGTTGCCTCGGCTGCCATCAGATTAGAGCGGAGATTTGTTTCACGTCTGTCTTCTCCGCGAGTTTACGATCGTAATTAGGTTCGCACGCGCGAGCCAACCCAAGCAGAATTGAAGCTTGGAACTTTAGTGTCGGTCCTTCTCGTCCGGTCTCAGCATCGTCCATCTGCGCCACGCGTTGCGTTATTTCCGTCCTTAATAGCGCGCGCGCGCCCGACCGCATTCGCTGAATCTCATTCCTCAATCTTCCGTAAGTTGGGAAACTTCCCCAGCGTATTTGAGTAACAGGTTGGTGTGTTTCTAAATGCGACCTTAGGATTATAGAGATAGGAGTCGCGGTATCTTGCCGTTTGTGCAATTAACGTGCACACGCAGCGCTGCTTCGAGAATCGTTATAGATGCGTGCGGTGAAAACTCGAATTTTTACTACTATTTTATCTCTTTGAAATAATAATATCAAACAATTTCTAGTCAAAGTAATTTTATTCCACATAAAATAAAGAGTTAATGTTTTAATATTTAGTACAAATCAGCGGATACATTATATTATTCCATTTTTTCCAATTTTCTGTACGATATGTAATATATATATAGTATCAAAAGATACGTATAAATTATATTGCACACATCTGCGAGTTACAGTTTTTAATTACGTGGTTTCTCTCGAAGAGTTAACTTCGTTACATATCGAAGAGATAACTACGTTCTATATATATAACGTTCATATATACATATATATATATATATATATGAACATAAACTATTTTAAGACACAAAGCACTTAACGTTGCAGCAACGTAACGACTCTAGGAAACTTTTCTTGTTTCCTGCAATATCTTATCACAACGCTTTTGCTGTCCTTATTGTGACGATGCAAGAAGCGCAACTTCTTTACGTAATCTTCACGAAACTTACGGCGTGAGCGAATGTTATTTAACTTGCATGATGACACACTAGATGACGGAGTGACAGCCGTGTAATTTTTAATTAGTTCACTGTCTTCCGTTTTGGATTTTCTCTCGATTCTGAAATAACAATTTCTCTCGCGCTCTCGATCGCTCGCGCTCCCCCGAGAGAATTTCTCTCTCGGCAAATGAAGCGGATTTGATAGCACAGTAGTCAAAGAAATATGCCGATAACGCAATATCATTTCTGATACGACAGACTCGTGCGACGTAACGCAATATTATAGAGTGACTCGCATCTTTCATACATCTGCTTCATTTATACGCAGAACGATATTGGAGAAGAGTTCCCCCGTCGAATGTTCCGCCGCTTTAAACAGAACCGCTGAGAGAGCGAATCAGAAGAGAATTAATTAGATGCAATAAATAATTGATATGACAAACGACGAACTCTCGTGTGTTTCGGACGCGAGATTTTATTGACGCTCAATTTTTGTTAATCGAAAAAAAATGATCCTTTTTCCGCTTTTAGTTTTAATTGAAAACGTCAGTCATCACGTAAATCAATGCGAATGATCGTCGGGGAAATTGAAAAATGATCACCGAGACCACACTTCGTGATTGGTGAATAATAGCCGAGCTTGGACGCATATGTTTTTGCGGCGGAAAAAAAACCAGTACTTTTTTCGAACGCTTAATAACTTTTTTTTTTTACCGCAATTTCGAAACACGCGATTGTTTATTTGTAAACAACAGCAGAGAGAAATACCAATTTTAATTCGCGAGCAAAAGTAAAAAAACATCTCGCTGCTAATTTTGGAAGAATTTCTCGAAATGATGCATTTTTGTTTCTTGTTTTGAGCAACTGGAATTTTTCGAAAGTAAATTAATTTAAAAACCGAACCGCGCGCGCGCGCTCGCACTTGCACTATATCGAACTATATCGAAAAGAAAGTTGCATTATTAGTTCGCGTTGAGAGGAGGGAGAGGCGGGCGGCGAATTTCCGAAGCGGTTTTCGTTATTGGTAAGTCAATAGCGACTTTAATAAGGCACGTTAACGTTGGTCAGCCATCCTACAAACATCGGGAACCAATAAATTCAACGGAGGAACACACAGAGAGCACAGCCGTTGGCGAGATGCCAACGAAGCGCACGAGGGCGCATGTACGAGCTCACAAAGGTAACGTTTCCGCGGCGCCTTTTCTCATTTCGCAAATTGGCTTTCGGGTCGCGATTCAAACGAAGTATTCCGCCGCTACCTCCTCCGGGATTGCACGTGCGCTGCTTGAGTTTTATGGAATTCCCATCGACCTAAAAAAGCACACACGGGTCCGAAAACGGGTGCGGACGTCGGTCTCTGTGTCAGCGCGGAGCTACATAAAAGAATCTGCGAAATATTTCCCGTCATTTTCCACACAGATTCGTGTAGAAAATTTTTGTTCGCTCGCGCCGAATGGAGCTACGCCACTCTTTCTGCCGGAAACCAAGTGTATAACGACGCGTACGAACTTGTACTCGAGCAACTTTCTTATTTACGATCACGCTTATATGTTCGCACGTATATGTGAGTTCAATAAAAACTTTACATGTCCGCGGAAATATTGAACTGTCGGGAGGTTGCAATATTTCGCCGTGAGCGCTCGAAAATGGGACTGTAAGTTCGCTTAAAAGTGTCACTTGATTCGCGAAAAAATCAAGAGCGAACAAGTGCTGTGCGAGTGGAAGTGAATTCTTGTACGCGAACAAAAAGAGACGTGGAAAGATATTCGGTGCGCAAAAATGGAAAGGTGGAGAAAGTAATAAAATCACTTTGCCGGAAGCGAGTTTACTTCAAACAGTCCGAAGTGAATTTTAAAAATTATGGATTTATCTCCACGTTTTAGAGCACCGATTTCTTCGATGCCGCGCCGGCCGATGTGTGCTGAAAAATTGCAATATCGCCCGCTGCATATGTTTGCGCGCAGCAATAAAAAAATCAAATTACGCGCCAAAAAGAAGATAAATGAGCGTGGTAGTAAAAACGGTTCGGTTAACTGAAGCGGCCTTACTGTCGTAAAGGCAAATATCTCCGCAAATCCTCGTGTGTGTACTCGCGTGTACTTTTTGGAACTTCGCCGACGACGACTAATCGTCAGAGAAGTCTTTCGACGTATGCAACCGCCGCTGCAGCGCGCAAGCTCTGTGTTCAAGTGCAAATTGGCTGAGAGAGCAAGTGGTCGTGTAAATTGCACGAACTTCGCAAAAGGCTCGCTCGTGTTTGTGCTTCTGCTTTGTGGTTTCGTGCTCGATGTAGTGCGCCCGAGTACAGCGCGCGGTTTGTAAATATGAAAAATAACGGCGCTTTTAATAAATTCAAAGAGATGCTAACACAGTGTCGCGCGGTCGTTTATAAATTACCAGTACTCTAAATAACGAGTTTCGAAACAAACCGCAAATATGTGAGAAACTATTGTATTTTTTCTCTTTCTCTCGTCAAGAAAAAAAAATCATCGCTCGCATTTCTCATTTTCCTTTTCTCTTACATATTTTTATATAAAATAATACAATATCTGTCAAAGAAACGAACGGAGAAAAAAACTTAACGACACGGCGGCGCGTAGTTGAGCCGCGCAACGACGATAACGTTCGAGGGTTCGCACAGAGTTTCCGAAGAAAGCGAAGAAAGAACAGTACGATTTACACGAAACGAGGTCAGTCAAACGGCAAACAACGCCACAAATTTCACCTCAGACACCTCCCTCGCGTCTTTAAAGCACTTTTTTCCGTTGTGGAAGGTCAGGGTTGGACTTCCGTCGCGTCCAAAATTCAAAGTCACGTCGAATTATCGAGTTTCTTTTAAGTCTCCCTCGTGCGCTTTTTAGATAACAGGATACTTCTTTTTCGTACGTAGATAAATCTCTCTCTCCCTTTTAAAATTTATTATTCACAACGTAAAACAGCCGACAAGCTCGCGCGAAAAAGTAGATTAAAAAAAAAATAAAAAAATAAAATGAGAAAAGCAAACTCAACCTCTATAAAAATTAACGTCGAATTTCTCGCTTCTAGCTCTAAAA